GCTTAAAGCCCATACGTAACGTATGTAAACAAGTGTACGCGGCAGAAAAACCCGCGTATACCCTGTCGTAATTTTGAAACGAATGGCCAACCATATCTTTTAGGTGTTGACACTTCAAAGTCGTTTTCATGATAGAATCCCTTCGAGCGTACAAACTGGCTACTCTAGTATTATACTCACCTTTGACATAATTATCATGAAAGCTACCACAAAAGTTCGAAATCCTTCCAAAGTATCATCTACTAACGAGGTTGTACAAAAGACACTTTCCTCGCAGTCACGAAGCTGGTTGTTAAGAAAACTGACAAAATATCGAAGTTCTGACCAGGAGGGGTTAGAGACACCGCAGTTTCTATGAAAAATGCAAACAAGAACTCAAGCTAGTAATCACACAAAGAGTAACGTTAATCGGGACAGTCAAGGGCTAGTATGTGAGCTACTGCTTCACTGATAATGAATGCTTCATTTTTGTTAAATAAAGTCTTATTACTGTCCTTATTATGTCTTCGAAGGTACAATGAATTACAGTGAAAATACTTAGATAAACTTGCTTTGAATGGTGTCACATGATGGTTCGGCCTTTGAATGCTTAGTTCTCTCTAGGCCTAGTAACGCGAAACAAGGCAATCGCTTCATAGAACAAATAAAATTATAGGTAACAAACCTGATCAAGGTTTCAAGACATTCTTCTGGACTATCATCTCTTTTATGGCGAGCATCAAAGTTAAAATGTTGGATAAGCCCAGGTTCCGTGTTATGCAGTTGAAGATACTGCCAGGCACGTTGAACTGCCTCGCTTTGAAGTTCTTTTTCATCAAACAGAGGACTGCTGCTTCTTTGCGCTAACAAAAAGGAGGAATAAAACTATTTGTTTTGGAAAGCTCAGCCTCAGTAACGTCTTAGCATATAGGTGTCTACAGTGAGGAGGACGCAGCATCAAATTTTTATAATGCCAATAAGAGTTTAATCGTACAATCACACGATTCAAAGCCGCAAAAATGGAAAAGATCATCTCACTAGTTGTTGATTCAATGGGCAGACGACAGTTAGACCCTCTTGGCTGAAATATACTGAAGAAGATTTTAACGAAAACGACAAAACATTTAAGTTTAAAGACATGTTTCGACCGAACCTACTGTCATCTTCAGTTAATTGATGTACAAAGCGTTGGAATTTGAATTTATAATACGTAGAAAAATGCTAATTGCGATGAATTGTGACAACAATTTAAAGCAAAGCGTGAAAGTGTGAGCATTATAAGGATAGTTTTATATTTATATGGTGTACTTGTTGATTCAAAGAGGGTTGTTCTCTTTGAATATGAATAGCCTCTTTCATCTTAAGTTGGAAACTACTGGAGGCGCAATCCAAAACATGGAGATAATCTGCTGAATGTAAGGCGCGACAATGTTTAGAATTCTGCAAATGTTGAAAATGTGAGAGGCCTCGTCACTGGATAAATGCCCTCTGACACGCGTGGAAAAATGCCGGACCGTTTCCCTGACGCAACAAAAGGAACGAAAGGTCTTCTTTAAGTCTGTTTTGCAAATGCATCTTCACAGCAATTGACAACAAACTGTTATGCTACCTGCACTCTTCCTAAGCAACAATCCGAGTGTCTCCATTGGAGGAAAGCATCTGATTGACGGGAGAAGTTCATGAAATTTGCACATTTTTTCCTTCTTCTCTCGCTCCTAATGAGATACAACAATCATGAAAATAAAATATTTAAACTGACAGAGTAGCTACGAAAATATTTGGGATGACATCCCCCCACAACCATAAGCTAATCCAGATTGGTCATGTGAATAGAACATATATACTCATAGTCACAAACCTTTGGGAGCGGATCTGTAATTTCAAGAATATACAGATCATAGGGATTTCGTCTCCAAACGCGCCCACGATCATCTGTGATCTCGCCCAGGATGAGCAAGTTAAACAGCAATGTTTCAAGTTCTGGAGTCACCTAACAATTAATTTTAAGAGATACGTATATATTAATGTATTTTGCTTACTTGTTTACGTTCGTTTCTTTAGATATTTTTCGTCTGTCTGCCTATCTGTCTGTCTGTCTGTCTGTCTGTCTCTCTGTCTGTTTAGTCCGCGTTATACATGTACGTCGATTGGTCGATCAGCCAGTTAGAGTGGAACTACGCTTTACAAACATTTCGTTTAATAAGGAAAGCAGCTTATTACAGACAGGTGCCCCTGAAAATATTCAGTGTGGGTAAATCGTGTTTCCGAGCTGCTTACTCTCATTGACGGCTTAACTCAGATACCCGGATGATACGGACATTCTTGCGCATCTCTTTGGTGACCACATTACCCGGGTTTCCACTAACCGGGTTTCAGTGTATTACATTGCGACTACTCCCCACTCCAAAAAGGCCACCAGAAAAAATTCCGGGAAAAAATTGACCTTGGATTCAGTGAATTTATCAATGGAAAAAAAGCTGAACACTTCAAAACGAACAAATCTGTGACCAAATAAACAGATTTGCCTAATGCAACAGTAATGCATGGGCATTCTTTAAATCAGTCTTGAATAGAACTACAGAGCCAATTCTCCTATGTAACCGGATGAGCTGTAATCAAAACCGTGTCTAAATTTTTAATAACCTTTTTACGAAACGGTTTTCAATTTTCAATTTTTATTAAATTGCTTTCAATTTTAATTGATCATTTTAATTTTAATTGATCATTTTAATTGATCATTTTAATTGATCATTTTTATTGATCATTTTAATTGTTTCAAGGTTGAAACGTTTGAATATATTGCTTGGGGTCTGTTTAGAGTGGTCGTCCCCGGTGTGGTTGCACTGTAATGCCTGATGCTTGGACAAAATTCTTACCGTAGCGGAACGGTCCATGTGGAAAATCCTGGACAAAGGTATATCTGAATGTAAGGCATGCGGAAGAAAAAAGCCAACAACATCTGCAACACGTGCGCGTTTATCGTGAAAAGGTATCGTCACACATAGTGGAGGTGGTTCTTCATCTTGACTTTTCATCGTATCCGTGATGAGCCGATTGTTCTGTAAGTTTGATACCTGTTCTGCTAGTCTTTGAACGACTAAACTCTTCCCGACCCCAGGGTGATCAGAGGTTACTACATGAACATTTAAGCTGAAAAAGAAAACACATTTCAAATATTGTTCCAAATTATTTCATTCGCTTTCCAAAGAACAACTTCAATTGATACTTTTCTCCTGGAAAGTATTAAGTGTAAACCCGAGGGCATTTCTATGAGACAT